AGCAATATTTCAGACACCTATCATCAGCCACATTACGAATCACTTGATGTTTAATGCGTAAGTTGAGCATTAAATACATCGTACAATAGTTGGAATGATTTACAGGTATTTTTATCCAACAAATAAACCACTGATTTCCTTTAAAAATCATGTGAGTCTGACTTTCCTCCATCTTCCCACGTGTCTTGCAGCATGATTTATGACCCAACGGAAGCAAATATTTGCCGGGTTAGAGTCTCCATTCTCCAACGAGACGAGTCAGTAGGTGTTTAAGTAATTCACAAGAACCTTTTAGAAAAGCTTTGCATTATTTTTTTACACTCATTACCATAATTCGTCATTCGAGACATTTGTTGTTTACACGTTTCACGAGACTAGAAATGATTTCATATACTGAAACACCATGTACTCAACCGATTGACTTTCAAGCCGATTGAGAAAAAAATTTCTGTGCAAGTCCCCAAGATGCGTCACCTTTCAAACGATTCCGCAATTTTACTATCATCTCTCGAAATTATGTAAAAAAAATGTTACTGTACCATATTATTTACCGCTTGGTTATGCAATGGTTTTTTATGTTATCAGCAGTTGCTCGGAATTGAATGGCAAAATAACCGGGAGTAAATATAAATTGAACGCTCAAGGCCTCCGAGGATATCCTCTTATAGCTTTTATGACTTTTTGATGTTTCTAGAGTGAGAAAAAAAATCACGCATAATCTGTACTGTTGAGAATTATCTGAAATTATCGAGACACACGATGAAAATCTTGATTTCAATGAAATTAATCCATTACTAGCGAATTTTATTTGAAATTTCAAGCTTCCCATTGTATATTGAATATCGGATTTATAGAAACACCTTTATTTATTCAGTTGAGTGTTCCTCATTGTGTGAAAATGCCCTCAATAATTGAACTGACATCTACACTTTCCATTGAAATTCCCATAGCATTGTAATTTTTCAATGGCAATGAGCAAACGTTTATCAAAAATTATCTAAAATGTATATAATTTAAACCGATGCACACATGTTTTTTGAATTTATTAAAAACATAGAAGACAATGAACAACCTACATTTTTTATATTATAACTCTACAAAAGTATTTTTATTTTCTCCTTGTAATCGTTGGCTGCTTTATTTATTTGTTTTTTATTATATAGTATAGATTTGAGTTGGCGAAATGATTTTTAGGCGAAATGATTGATCGGTATTCGGCAAATAGTCCAAATAGCAACATTTCTGTTAATTCATCGACGGTGTAGAGACCTCGCATTGACGTATTAATTTAATAATTCATGTATCGTCTATATAGAAATACTTGATCTGCCATTTTACTTATAAACTTCTCCCTCTGCCCGGGCAATGCGGGTAAAACGATCCGACACGATTAGCATATGCATGGCGAAGAAGGATTCAAGAATCCCCACCCGCAGGCTTGAGGCCAGGTGAGAATGTACGATATGTTTTGTCTACGGAATGAATGATTTTTCTCGTCGTTAAACCATGACCGCAAATTCGTTTTCGAATCCATCGGGCAACAATTCCTTTACCAATGACTCAATGCTCAGATGGTTCAGCTGCTCTTGAAATATTCCAAGTGGTGAACCCAGGAGTTTTTTCCTTTCCACACGGTGACAGTGATTTCTCAGTAATATTTATAAGTCATTTTTGCAAGTATCAAGACAAAAGAATCAGCCATACAATATTCACGCGCTCGCAGGGTGAATCTTGGCGCGGTTCTTTTACGATGCAATCCAGCACACTTGCTTATGCATCCTAGAGTCCAACATGAGGAACACGTATGTGTGATGCACATGGACGAGTGCCACCAAAGAAACCAAGAGGCTCGTATAAATACCCCATGTCCAGAGGGACGGCTGCCTGCACGTTTCGAATCTTCTCTCTTCTTCTGCTTCTCTTCGAGTTCGTCGACCGCTTCTCACGCGCCGGGTCCAGAGGCTCTTCCCTCAGTCGTAGGAGGAATCCTTTTCTTTATTTTCCAACTTTTTCTATTTTATCTTCCCTCTCGAAAAAGCTCCTCTTTCTTCTGCTCGTCTCAGTGTCATGTCCTGTTCACTTTGTCGTATCCAGAAATTCTTTTTCTTCCTCTCAACTGATGAAAATGGAAACGTTATAGAGTATCTCTCGGTTGCATTCGATTATTATCAGATGCAGTTGGATGGATGAATGGACGATTGTTCCCTCATTGGCCAAGACAAATTGACGGTTATCTTGGTGGTAACATCGTTTTGGATCACCATTTCAGGGAGAAAGCACGAAGACTGATCGAGAGATCCTCGATAATTGCACTGACAAAAAAATATATCTGCGGTAAAGAATATTTACTACACGGAAGTCAATTTTTTATGACGTAAAATTAAATGTTTGTCATAAAATAAGATTACTTGAAGGCAATCAAGCCATTGTATGCACTTATCTCTTTGTCATTACACGAGGACTCGTTGCTGAAATAGTTTCCTCAAATAAATCATTATTTTCCATGAATGTACATAATATATTATCAAAGGCGCGAATACTTTCATATTGTAATTCAATTTACAAAAAGTTGTATTTGTCAGAAATACTTCAATTAATATATCATTTTAAAGAAGATCCGAAGACATTTGTCTGTGTGTTGTGTTGTTGAAATAATTATTCCTTAATCCTTAAATACTTGTTCAAATTACATACTGTATGTCGAAGAGAATAATTTTCAACAATCTTATTACATTTAACCGCAATACCATTTATCTGGCGTCGGAGTTTTTTTTCTCATTGTCAGCGTGGTGTGAAATATATCGGTTTGTAAGCGATTTTTGTGGAACAATTGAAGGGATTTTGGTTTGAATTCTTTGAATTTGGATTGATATTAGAATGGGTGATGAGAGAATGATTCTGGGTTAACGTTGAAGTTGAAGAACACGCCTCACTCATTTTCTCGTCGATATACCTCATGCTTTGCACGGGTGCCGGAGAGGATTTGGGTGTTTGCATGGGGAATTCAGATGATTACTTGAGGCTTCTTTGACGTTAGCTCACTGAAACACACCCAGTCCCTCCCTCTATTCTTAGTAACTTGTGATAGAAGTACTATACAGAGGAGGACGAACATTCCATCGGGGCTTTCTAAAGCTCTCTGTCCTCTTTCATCTCCGTTGATTTATTCGACACGATCTCTCCCTAATTTCTCCACCGAAAATAGACAGATTTGGTTTATCGATTGATTTTATATCAGCGACAGGTTGATGTATTTTGGCACGAGTTCCCACCAACTTGGATGGGAACTGATTGACCCCAATTGTTGTTCAAATTGTGCTGTTGAATATTCTTAGTTAAAATTTTCGGTAGGCATCTTGAAAGATTTCATCAAGTAGTTGGAATGAATCTGTACAGACTGTAGGCATGATAAATTCATAATTCAATGATAAAATCCATCACAACTGTATGCGAATTGCAATTTTCGAATGAAGTATGATCGGATTTTCTTTCTTGTATTGTTTCATATTGTCTTTTGTAATTTATGTGCAAATTTGACAGCAATTTTTATGGAAATTCTTCAGCGCTCTCCGTGAATTTTGTGTCAGAATACATAACGACTGCACTTAGACCTCAATGATAATGCAAACAGCGTAACGTTTCACCGGGTAAATGGTAAAATTCAGAATAGAGCCGTTTTTAATTGCTTTTCAACGACTGTTACGTAATTCTTCAAAGGTTTAAAGTAATATGTTATCGGCAAAGTTTGATAGTTCTCTATTTAGGTTGATCGATATTCAATGAGGCCAGTGTCTCCGTGCACGCGTTATGTCTCGTATGCCATGTAAATTTATTCCAAAATGACTTAGTGCGTGGCTTTTTCCCTTAGATAACTCGGTTATAGCTTTGAAAAACAGTCAGACTGTTACATTGATGCAAAACAATCATAAAAATGTTTTAAAAGTCGCGTAAAGCATTCACACTTCCTGTCTATTTTTACTGCTCAAAAAATGTCGGTTATCGGCAGGTGTTAATGGGCAAAACCCCTTCGTACGCGCCCGGAAAATATTATAATATTATAATTTTTAATGGAGAATTGCCCTTATCCAGCTGTGGCCCAATTCGTGATTGCCATAGCATGTGGTTGCACCCGAGAAATACATTCTGGGCGTCTCTATTAATAAAACCGAGTATTAACTCATCTAGAGATACAGACGACGCGCCAAGCCCAATTTTTATTTGAGATTAACGCATATTCCCATTTTTCTCGAGTCATCCCGCACTGTCCAATCTGCCGACTGATCAATTTACCGATAACTACTTTGTACAGCAGCAACGTTGACTCATAAATATTAACACAAATCCTTGTCTCCTTTCTACAATATTTTCCCATAACGTCCAATAGATCAATCAAGCTTCGAACGAATCCCACTCTGAACGTAATTATTCAAAATTCTCTCATGAGCCTCTATCTTAACCTTCAATAACAAATTCACAAGGAAAAAAAATGTGGCTGTACCTTCATATGGGGAGATAATTTTCCGTTGCACGGAAAGTTCCCATAAAAAGGGAGCATTGTATTTAAAACCCTACCGTCTGGTAATTTTCCTGGTTATTCGACCCACAAAAGTCGTCCGAAAACAAATAAAAATTAACAAGACGCTGAAAGAGAAAGAAAACGAAAGCGTGAGTTGATTTTTGAGTGTGCCGCACCCCGACTGGAAATTCCGTTCAAAAAAGCCCGCCTCCATTCGTACATTTGTCTCTTGCTCGACGAACAACGCAGACAGTTATGTATTCAACTCACGGATATGCCCGGCGATTCCGTCCTATTTGAGCGGAAAAAAAAAAGGAAAAAGGAAAATTGTTTAGGTGTTGTGAAAGCATTTTTGGCTGTTACGTGAGGCGGGAAGTTTAAAAGTTACGTTGTAGGTTAGATACACTTGGGATGGAATGCACTTGTGGGGTTCAATGCCCCTTGAGGTGATCCTAACAGCGCATGTGCAAAAGATCGCTGAGACGCAGCTCGCTGACACCTCACTGAATGACACGTTTTTCTTTAATGTCATCTAAATTTTTTTTCATTGCCGAAATATTTAAGAAACTATCTGATTCATTAGTGATAAATTGTTCCAAAATTTCACATCTCTTTGCTTTTGGTGATTTTCAAAGTGTTTAAGATGAATTCTCAAGTGTAATACTTTGGCAAGACTTCGTGATAGATGTTCATCTATATTAATCAATGAATTTGCTAGAAGCTGACTCATCGAAACCAGTGGAGAGGGTCCTGCAGAAAGATGAGACTCAAACGAGATAACTCGGCAAATCGAGGCAATAATTCTTTCGCCAGTGGTAACGAACGCAAAAGATTGTGGTTGAGGGTACGATGTCAAGTACAAATGGACAAGTCGCAACGAACGAGGAGTTTAAGAAGAACGAGTGTGTCTTTCAGTTGGTATAATGTCGCGATGATTGTTTGTCGGGTTCTAAGAATACACTTTTTTATTTTTCTCAGCTGATGCCATCTGATTGGTTGGAAAATTATCTGGTTCACCCTGAGGTTTAATAGAAATTTACGAATTGCTGTTCAATCGAGGATTTTATAGTGAATATATTATTGGGATACTGGAGAAACAGACAGAAGAATGAAAAAGTCTGTAGCATTTTAATAATCCTACATTATTAAAAATTGCTTAAAATTTCAGTAAGAAGCTCATCTGAATTATCTATTTGAATTAGCAATGCTCGCTACATTTCTCATTTATCTTGAAATTTTTCAGTGTGATATGGGTCTGAAAATGGAGAATTATCAAAATAAATAATCAGTTTGAAATATCTCAAAGAGCCATGAAGTCACTCCTTTTTTTGACGAAGTATAACTGTCTAGCTCCAATGTACAGGACAATATGCATAATAAAGTGGTATTAGCTAATATCCGGATGTCCTGTATTCTTTGTGAATAAACCGCCCGTACATATAAGTAGCTACAAAATGCTCGTGAACAACCCCCCGCTGAATCGTGACAAAGTTTAACGAGGCAAATCGCATGGGCCGTTGATCTTATTCAACTCGTTGATTTTGTTATTCAGCAATACAGGTATTGTCTCTTGGCATCGGGAGAATCCGTTATGCCATTTAACCCATGCACTCCAACAAATTTATTACACCATGCTAATGAAACTGTTTTACTAGGATGTAAGATTCGCTCTTGACCGAGTTCGAAGCCGATTTGTTAACGGAATGGGCCTTGATATTTTATTTATGGATATCTGAATACAATGAGATATTAATTATGCGTTCAAGTGCAGTTAGAATATTTTGGCTGACCTCTGAAGAAACCGTCGACTATTGTTACGCAAATGGAGAGAGCTTTTCCAGAAGAACTGTTGAACAGCTGAAGAAAGGTCGATTTCTTCTGAAGATATGGGACAATGGTGGAATGATGAAGCGTGTGAAAATTTGGAAAGAGAAAAAACAAGAAAAGGTAATTCGATAATGTCTTCTTAAATTTGGAAGACTACTGGGACAAACAAGGGGCTCCGAGCAAGTGGCATCAGGGCTATGGGAAGGTGAGATGTTCCTGAATCTTTGGACAGGTGTCTCTTCTTCTGATGGGTACCCAAGATATCCAGAGTTCTCTGTACAAATTCTCTTCTCCTGAATGATCAATCGATTCGTGTCCACTGGTCATGTCAGTAGGTGTCACACGGATCGCTTAAAGATTAAATTATGTCATTAGAATGAGTACACGAGACTGGTAATATACTGTTGATATTAGTGTCATCCTTGGAACTTCGGGTTTTAACGTTTCACGTTTTAGAGTGCGACAATGGCGCCTGTCCTCAACCTACCCACTGTGTCTCTCGGATAATTGGCAATGCAAATTTATTCAAAGCCGGATCTACTCTTATCTGCAAATGGGAGGTGGAGAATCTGACGTTTACGATATGGTCGTTGGTAGGGGGAGTAAATCGAGTGAGAGTCCGATGGGCCAAACCGGTTAGCAGTTCTTTTTTTTCGTTATTTACATTTTTTTTCATTTCATTGAATGCAGAGAAAAATATATTTATTTACTGTTGTTATATAGCAGTAATAAGCGCTCTCATCAACTGCAGGATGATGACGCGGAGAATGTCAAGTATTTAAATTTATTTGAATCAAGTGTACCTGTTTATTGAAAATCTTGGGGATTTTGTGGGAAGTGCCCAGTCACTTGCAAAATATTCTTAGTCCGCATATTAATAAAGTAGTAGTAGTAGTAATATATTATAGATATTATTATATTATAGATAATATTATTAATTATAATTGACGTATAGGAGTTATGCCTGATTCTAAAATAGTTAATTTTCAATGTTCTAAATGATCTTAATGATTCTTCGACAGTTCTTAAAAGTTGACTCCTCAAATCGATGAATCGAATGGAACCTGCTTGAATTGATTATAAAACATACTTAAATAAAATACAAATGGCTTTTTCTTCGTGTGAATGGGAAAAATTGATGATACGTGCTTGCTGAATATTGTGACAAGACTTAAAACCATGATGTGTTACCATTAATAGACCAGCCGTTGGGGTAAGCCTAGCACCTTTGTGTGAAAGAAAAAAATAAAAGTGAAAAGAAAAAGTGGCGGTGTAATGGGTGAGGGTTGTAGAGCCTCTTGGAAATTCCGTTAATCACCTCGTGTCTAGCATTCTCACTGTAGTAATAATAAATGCCAAGACACGTGAGTAAACGAAAACAGTCTGTCAGCAGTGGTAGGTGATGCTGTTTGGAATTGACTTTTATGGGAATAACATATGGGAGGATTGAGAATAAAAAGACAACTTCCTGAAAACTGGTTTTGCGTAAGTTAGGAAAGTTGTACGCGAACTTGGGAGAAATTGTGAGGGGCTACAGGTCAAATCTATGAGGATGGTGTATCTATATGTTTAACTGTACATGTGATGTTTCTTTTCCCCTGACTTCTCCTCCACCATCAGTCATAAAGATAACTTTGCGGGTGGCTCTGGCGTTTTTCGGATGACGCAGCGGCGGGAAATGCGCTCTCTTTTCAGGGGGTTACTTGTTCCTTTCAAGATTTATACTGAGTCAAGGGTCCCACATTGCGATAAGACCCAAGACACCAGACTTTGTTCTGATAATCTTCAGGAATTTCTCTTAAAAAGCTTCAAACAATTACCTCTCGAGTCGAAGAATTTTTTTGTCACATTCAGCTCAATTCTTTGAACCCACGAGCATATAAAAATAAAATATTTGCTTAAAGTGCTGGTTATGTTACATTTTAATTACGGATCATTTTAGTGTTCTATATTTGATATTTTAAATCGTTAAATTACAGTTCTTCAACCCCAACGTTTTCATTTATAATTGTACTGTAATGAATGATGGCATTCATTGAACTGTAAACAATTCGACGAATATCAATCAATCAATAGTTAAACCTTACACTATTTTATTTTTATCCTTTTATTACAAAATAATTGTAATATTTCCCAAAAACCAAATAGGTATCAAATAACTAGCGGGATGTATCAATAGAAAAGTAGAAGTGTATTTTCATGAAATATATCATGAATGTAGTTGGCCATCCGTAATATATTCACCGATGGAATGCACTCATGCAGTTCTATTAAAGTCTGATTTGTTTACAAGTTTTCTGAGAACGGCTGCAACCCCCTTTGCTTTCTTAATTCCAATTTAATTCGAGTTCACGAACTTTTTCCATTCATGATTCACGCTTTATTATTCCCCCTCCTCGTGTACCACATGGTACCATGAATTCTCATATGTTGAGGTTTTATTTGGAGTGAAAATTTCTCCCGGGTTTAAAAAATTACAAAAACCGGAGTGTGCGGATGGCAGGGGTATGAAGGCATAACCCGAGAAAACGGCTCCACTCAACTTCTTGTACTCCATGGTCATTCTCAAATTACTGTGATCTCTCAGGAGCTTTAGTATCTCTGTTGGCAACTATTAAGTCGGCTAAATTGACCATTCAATCGATACATTAACAGCAAACCATTGATTACCAAGTGGTGCGATTTGTCTGTGGTTTTTGCCCGCTTTTTTAGTGCAGAATGATAGGTTGAAGATCCATTCGGTGGCCGGGACAGTCTCCTTTGGTAACAGTAAACTCTTTTATTACATAATATTTCGTCTGAGATAATACTTCATTTATCAATATTTAATTCAATCGTTTTCATTCTGAGTTGATTGTATGAATAGTAAATAATTAGTCTGTCAACTCGACATGATTTATTCCAGAGGCAGAATAGTAATGATTTATTTCCCCGGATCAGGACTGTAATCTTTCCATTGAAAAAGGTGGATTGGATTACAAAATTTTGTAGGCAGTTGGCAGTGTGAAAGTAGGCTACATTCCACTCCGGATGATCGTCACAGAAGCCCCAGATAAGCGCGTGTTTGATCGATAAATAAAATGAGAGATTAACCGGAGAGATGAGATGTTTCAGAAGAGGGAAGAAAGCTCAATAAAAAAAATATATTAAATTGAATATAAACGTCGTATCGTGATGTGGAAATTGTGTGAAGCCTTCCCGGTGATCGCCGCTTGCAATCACAGACTCCACCAACAGTGGAACTCTCTGTACTCACTGGATTTTTGCCGGTACTTAACACTAATTAACCACAAATTGCTCGCTGCTTTCAGACGCTGCTAAAGGGCCTCTTCAATTTTTTATGAATATTCATTTTCACGAATGAAAGAAAACTATGGGGGACTACAATTTGGGTCAAGCGATTATCGAATCATGAGATGTGTTTCTATTGCTTTTTTTTTTCTCATGTGTAAATACACTTGAGAACACCTCATTTGAATAAAAGAGAGACTTCTTTCGAATAAATCTCTCTCGCTCCCATAAATAAAATCATTGAGTTGAGGACACATTCGAGATTTTCGATAAAGAAAAGGGCCGTTTCTTTATTTTTCAGCGCATGAACATACTTGACAGCTCTTCTGAAAGACCTTAAAAATGCTCTCCATTTTTTTTATCTTTTCACAAAAAAAAAAAACCGTGAAACACTGAACTATTTACACCAGTCGGGTGATCTTCCTGTTGGAGAACGGAAAAAATACTAGTTTTTTGTGTAATACAAGTGAAGTGTATCAAGGCATTTGGATCTCTAAAGGCGACGATGTACGTTGTATGTTTGGATTATCTTGAGACCAAGAAGAGGGCGAACAAGAGGGCTTGTACAGTTTACATAATGCAATGGCACACGGGTGATAAATCCACTCTCGGATAGTGTTTTCATTCTCTCTGTACGCGACTCTCTGGCCCTTACGACGTTCCACACAAAACACCTTTTATTTATTTTTTTATCTACCTCCCTTCATATTACGCCAAAGACCTGTAAGTCTCTATTGTTCATTCATATGAATTCACGGTGTTTCATTCTGTCTGGCTTCTAAAAGCTATTTCATAGATAACTGTCAAGCAATTTTAGACTATTTTCACTTCGCCACAGGAAAGGATCGGCGCCAACTGATTGAAATTAATCCCCGTTTCCATTATTTTCTGCTGATCCTCGATTCGTCTCTATTTTTATAACAGACATGTTGACTTCAAGAACCCGATTAAAATGGATCCTATTTTCAAAGCAAATACCTATCAAGCTTTTTCATTCAGCCACATTAATTCACGTTATTCCATTTTATTTTAGAAATGAAAGCTGTTAGTAATTGAAAAGTCATCTCAATTTCCAATGGTATGAGTTTGAATTGAATTTCCATTAAAAATCATCACTAAATTTCTCATTTGTCGTCAAAATTCAAGAGAATAGTATGTTTCACGTTGAATGATAATTGATTTTTCAATGAAAGCTTCAATTTTGAATTCTCATTGTACAAATTCGATATCACATACAATA